AACAAGGTTATAACCTTGTTATAACTGAATGGAGGCTCAAATATGCAAAAAAAAATGGAAGGAGAAACAACTCTATTCACAAACAACAGAAGCTAGCAATTTAGAATTCTTTATTCAGCCTATTGAGTCAAGTTACCTTCATTTTCGTTTTGGGTGGGTTTTTGCCCCCATTAAAGGCACTATAAAGGAGAAGTCTGCCTAGTACAATACAAAATAACATCAGAAGATTTGCATTCTAGTCCCAGCCCTCTCACTAATTACTCAGTGACCTAGAATAAGTCAGTCCACTCCTCTGGACCTCAAGCATCCTCATCTCTAAAATGACCCAAAATAGGATGATACAACAGGGAAGGAGCATGGAACCTAGCACTGACTTGGGAGTTAAAGGACATGGGCTCAAACTCTCCCTCTGATGCTTCTTTACCTTCAAAATTTTGCCCAAGTCCTGTTAATACGTTGGGGCTCATTTCTGTTCCCTTTTGTGAAAATAAGCACAACATTCGCCCTTTTCCATTCTTGTGGTACTTGGAAGGTGGTGCCCTCAACAGTAATAGGGAAACTCAGAAGAGGTATGGGTTTGGGAGAAAAGATAATGAGTTTAACTTGAATGTGTTGAGTTTGAGATACCTACCAGACATCTAGTTCAAAATATCCAGTAGGCAGTTGGTGATGTAGGACTGAGGTTCAAGTGAAAGACTAGGACTAGATATAGATGTAAGAGTCATCTGCATGGAGATGGTCATTGGGATGTAAGTAACATGGATAAAGATCCATCTAAGGAGACAGAGGAGGACCAGTCAGATAGGTAGAAGGAAAACCAGGAGAGAGTAGTGCCATGAAAACCCAGAGAAGAGAGTATATCCAGGAGGAAGAAAAAGTTGTCAACAATGTGAAATGTTGCAGAGAGGTTAAGAAGGATGAGGATTAAGAGGCCATTAGATTTGGCAAATATGAGGTCATTAGCAGCAGTTTCAATTGGCTGATGAAATCAAAACCCAGACTTAGCAAGGTTAGGGGAGAATTAAAGTACAGGAAATGGAGAACTCCATGTAGACAGCTCTTTCAAGGGGTTTGGCTGAAAATCACACAAAAAAAATCTAAAATGATAGCAGTAAATCAAGGAAATGATGTAGCTATAGTTCCCTTAGACTTCAACAAAGCATTTGATGAAGTACCTCATATAATTATTGTGGCTAGATGACAGTATAATTAAGTAGATTCAGAATTGGCTGAACAGCTAGACTCAAAGAATAGTCTTTAATGGTCCAACTTGACAGGAAGCCTACAAGGTTCCTGCAAGCACAGGACTTGTACTTGTTCTTGTCTCGTTCAACATTATCATCAATGACTTATACAAGCATGTTATCCAAAGCCGTTGACTTAGAAGGAAAGCTCATCAAGTTTGTACATGAAATAAGGTAAAGGGGGATGGTTAACACATTGGATGACAGGGTCTGGATCCAAAAAGATCATAAGAGTCTAGAACATTGGGTTGAATCTAATGAGATGAAATTTAACAGCAGTATGTTGTAAAGTTGTACTGTCTGGTTAAAAAAAATCAACTTCACAAGTACAAAATAGGAAAGGCTTGATTACATACAAGTTTGTCTGAATAAGTGGGAAGAGTGGACTATAAGCTGAATCTGAGTAGTAAACAGTGTGATGAGGTAGCCAAAAAAAAAAAAAAGAAAAAGACTCTGTGATCCTCAGTTGCATGAAAAGAAGCCTAACTCCCAGGAATAAGAATGTAACTGTCCTGTACTCTGCTCTAGTCAGAGCACATCTGGAATGGTCTATTCAGTTCTAGGTGGCACAGTTTAGGCTATTGATAACCTAGAACATAACCAGAGAACAACCAGAATGGTGAAAGACTTTGAGTCCAGGTCATCTGAGGAGTGGATAAAGGAACAGGTTGTGTTTGGCCTGGGAAATAGAAGACTCAAGAGAGACAGGATAGTTGCCTTCAGTTATTTGAAATGCTATCTTATAGAAAAACAGTTAGACATGTCTTGTTTGGCCTCAGTGGACAGAATCAGGAACAATGGGTAGAGGCTTCCAAAAAGGGCAATATAGGCTGGATGTCAAAGTCCCCAGCTATAGGGGGCAGCTAGGTGGCACAGTAGATAGAGCTCTGGCCTTGGAGTCAGGAGGACCTGAGTTCAAATCTGGCCTCAGACACTTAACACTTACTAGCTGTATGACCCTGGGCAAGTCACTTAACCCCAATTGCCACAAAAAAAAAAGTTCCCAGCTATCAGCAGCATGTAAAGGGGGAATGGACTGCCATGGGAAATAGTAGGTCTCCCTTCTTTGGGGGGTCTTCAAACAAAGGACATAGGACCACTTCTTACATATGTTGTAGAAAAGATTCTAATTGGGGCAGCTAGGTGGTGCAGTTGTTAGAGCTCTGGCCTTGGAGTCAGGAGGACCTGAGTCCAAATCAGACCTCAGACACTTGAAACTTACTAGCTATGTGACCCTGGGCAAGTCACTTAACCCTGATTGCCTGAAAGAAAGAAAGAAAGAAAGAAAGAAAGAAAGAAAGAAAGAAAGAA